GTGGCAAACTACAGAGTTTGTTGTAGTGATCGAAGACCTAAGTCATGAAAGAAGATTATCCAAGGTCCCAATAGTAGTAGAGTTCAAAACAACCTAAATATAAAAATAAAAATAAATGATAATTTCCTCATTTTAAACAACTGTATAAGCTTTTACCTAAATATAAAAATAAAAAAAATAAAAAATGCATTTATATAAGCAACAAGGAATTAGAGAAGCAAAATTTTACTACATCAAACCAAAAACCAAATATAAGCAGCCAATTTTACCAAAAATTCACGACTCATTAAACAAAAATGCTACTGATCACAACCAAAACTATTATGACTTGACAGACTTGATTTCATCCAACACTAGTTTAGTCAGCTGATGAATTAAGTGAACACGTTTTAGGTATAACTCCATTTCATGAATCTGCAAATATCTCCACTTTTCCTTCATATTTTCTGCATTGGCACTTCCAACCAATTGCATTCCTTCCTTCAAGAAGTTCCTCCCAGACTCCGACACTCCGTGGTTTACCCACTGCAATGACTCATTCAATCTGGGATACATGGACAAAAAATTCTCTCCACTAACTTTTATTCCACCACTAGCTGCTGCTACATATATACCACTACCCCATATCTTCTTTGAGAGTTCGAATGTCTTGCGCTCATGGGCTTAAGGAAAAACGGATTCTTGTCTTTTCCTGCATTTTTCCTGTACTTTTTCTTCATCCTACTGATCTTATCCGTCAGGTATTTCCTATATGCATTAGAGACGTCTCTAATGCACTTCCGATCAATTTTTATGTTTCATTTTTTTTCGATGTCTCTAAGCCCCATGAGCCCAAGAGATTGTATATGTTTACTATATATATATATATATAATGGTGCCTTTTATGTTTGGGTAACTATATATATATTCATAAATCCAAAATTCTCTTCACGTCTCGCCGGAAATGAAGAGACTATATCTTTTCATACTTGTTTAGGTAACTATATATATATATATAGAGAGAGAGATGTGAGATTGAGAGATTGATTTACTTCAAATCACGGCAATAGAGATTTGTAGTACTAATTTCCCCGAAAATGTAAACGGCATTGCAACAATAATGATTTATGTAAAGAAAAATGGGGTATTTTGAATTTGTGGCAAACTAAGCAACAATTCTGCTGTGAAACGTCCAAACCCCTATCTGAATCTGAATTTAAATCTAATTGCCTTTTGGTTTGATTGCTACTATTCCAAACCTCTTCATTCCACCACATATGGGTGCATTTTAATTTTAATGCTTTAATCTTATCCATCAGCTGTTTCCTAAGTGGAACGACATGAAGAGAATTTTTGATATATTCATAAAAGGCACCCATATCAGTATATGGGTCAGCCCTATTACTCAATTTGTACTCGACCATTCCCTTCAAGATGGCAATTTCATCCTCTTCGCTCCAGAACCTACTAAATACAGACTTCTTCTCTTCAATAGCTTGACGGCCATTGTTAACCTTTCTCTTCTTCCTCTTTGACTCCGGTATCTCATTTTGTTCCGATGTCTCTACCGGACGTTTCACAGAAGGCTTTGGGAAGGGTTTGGAAGAGTGGAAGATTCAGATTCTGATTCTGAATGAGAATCTTCTTCAGAACTGGATGAATTGGATTTTTGGATAGTTAGTGATCTCTTGTCAACAGGCAGAGGACTATTTATGTACAAAAATCCAATTCAACTAGTTCTGAAGAAGATTATCATTCAGAATCAAAATTAGAATCTAAATCTAAATCTGATAAGATACAATCTTAATTATTGGAGAGATTGTATCTTATCATACTTGTATATATATATATATATATATATGCATGTTTAGGAATATATCAAAAATGAAACATTAAAATTCATCATATGTCCAACAATTTGTCAAAAATGATATGAATATATCAAAAATTCTTCCTCTATCCAACAATTTGTGGTGGAATAAAAGGCACCTATATGTGGTGAAATAAAAATGATATGAATATATCAAAAATTCATCCTCTAACTAACAAAATGTGTCAACAATTTTTGATATATTCATACTGATATGGGTGCCTTTTACTCTCTTGTTGAACAGAGGATGAATTTTAATTGTTGGACAGAGGATGAATTTTCCTAAACGGAATGACATGAAGAGAATTGTTGCTTATATATCAATTTTAATGTTTCATTTATATTTAGGTAAATGCTTATATAGTAAACATATACATAAAATATCTCTCCAATCAATTTTAATGTCTCTAATTTTACTATATACATCGAACCAAAAATGAGATACCGAAGAAATAATTTTAATGCAAGAAAAACGTCCGGCAGAGACGTTAAAAAATTTTGCTTCTCTACTGATCTCAACTAAATCTGATTGCCTGAACCAATTTTAATGTCCGAGGAATAAGAGAAATGCTCACTAGCTCGAATGTCTTGAACTCATGGGTCGGGCAATTGTAATACCGGATCAAGGATCGGGTCTGGCTCTGATACCATCTATAACGGGTAGGCGCTTACCCATTTACCCAAAAGTTTAAGTTATTAGGTAGTATTACATAGCCACCCATTTATACATACTTTAACTCTCATCCAAATCCGATGTGGGACAAGTCCCACTTGTAACAATATTACACTGAGTGATGGACCGACATGAGTACAATAGGAGGATATGGCGATATATAAACACAAAATGTTTAAAATTAGTAAAAATAAAATGGACTATATGAAATGTAAATTTAACAGGTAATGATAATATTGTAATAATAAAATTAAGACCAAATGATTACTAGAAAGTAATTAATTTTGGTCCTTAAAGATCAATTGTACAAAAAGATAGAGAGATTGATGATGTTATAAGTAGTAGAATTGAAGTAGGTTTGACAAAGTGGAGGAATAATAGTGGAGAATTAATTGATAAACGAATAATAAATAAATTAAGGGTGAAAAGAATAAAGAATAATCATAACGCTGGCTATTTTATATGGTGTGGAATGTTGGGCGATAAAAAAGAGACGTGAACAACACATTCATGTGATGGAAAAGCGGAGGTCAAGATTGATGTTAGGAGTAATTAAGAAATATAAAATTAATAATCAATGGATTAGAGAGAAATTAGGTTTTGTTAAATATATATATATATATATATATATATATATATATATATATATATATATATATATGTAACTTTTGGTTTTAGGTTGCAACTATTCAAAAGATATTTGACTTTTGGTTTGCAACTCTTAAATTGATTACAACTATTCAGAAGATATGTGACTTTTAGTTTACAACTTTTGGAAGTTTATAAATAGCGATGGTGCAGCATATTCTGAATATATTTTTTCTATTCTCTTTCTTGTATTATATCCAGTCATAACAGTTTCAACGAGTGTTTAGGGAATTCCTTCAGTATTGCTAACTGCAGGAATTCAGACTTTGTTGTTTCCTGGGAGTGTTTTGCTACAGAACCCATTAGCAAACTCAATTTGAGTGGGGGCAAATACCACTTTAAGGAAAGTGAATACATGCCTCAAAGGTTGTATTTTGTTTGACATCAGTGTGCTTGAGAAGGTCTGGTTATCTCTAACAATTTCTAAATCAATTATCTTAACAATCTTAAAGTGTTATTTAGATGGAGACTATATCAGACAATACTATGTTCAAGGTTATGAATCAAGACTTTGTGAAGTTAGATCAAATTGATGGATCTAATTAGAAGGATAAATTAATGTTCCTACTCACTATTCTTAAAATCTCATATGTTCTAGATCCAAATCTCTAACCATTCCCAGAGTCAACAGATAAAGATACAGAGAAAATGATTGAAGATAGGAAGAAACGAGATGAAGATGAATTGGTTTGCAGAGGTTACATTCTGAACACACTTTCACACTGACTCTACGATCTCTATACTCCTATGAAGTTTCCTCGAAAAATTTGGAATGCACTAGAATTCAAGTACAAAACTGAGAAACTAGGTACAGATAAATTTTTAATATTTAAGTACTTTGAATTCTCAATGGTTGATAATTTGTCAGTTTTAGATCAAGTTCATGAATTACAAGTTCTAGTCACAAAGTTTCATGAAGTGAAAGTTGTACTTCCTGAATCCTTCTAAGTGGGGGCTATCATTTCAAAGTTGCCTCCTAGTTGGAATGATTATAGAAAGAAACTTTTGCACAAGATAGAAGAATTTACTTTGGAAGAAATATAAAAGCATTTGCGAATTGAAGAAGAAACTCGAATTCATGATAAGAAATATTATGTTGAAGATTCTTCCAGAGTGAATTATGTGGATGGAGGCAAATCAAATAAATATCATAAAAGCCTCAAGTTAAAAAATAAAGGGACTTTCAAAAGGAATCATCCTTATAAGAATAAAAATCCTTCTAGACCATGTTTTCATTATGGAAAGAAAGGACATTTTATTCATGATTGTAGGTACAAAAAGTACGAAAAGAAAGAGAATGCTAACAATTCAAACAATGCTAATGTAATGGAAGAGAAGATTTTAGATCTTGTTGCTATGGTATCTGCAGTGCAAATTGGCATAATTACTGAATTGAACATGGCAACAACAACTAAATCTTTAGATTGGTGGCTTGATTCTGGGGCTACTATTCATGTTTGTAATGATAAATCACATTACAAAACTTATGAATCTGTAAATGATTAAGAAGTTCTGATGGGAAATCACAACTCTGCCAAAGTTTTGGGAAAAAGGGAATGTTGAAATTTAATTTACTTCAGGAAAGCAGTTGACATTGCAGAATGTTCTTCATGTCCCAGAAATTAAAAAGAATCTTGTATCTGCAAATTTATTGTGTAAGAGTGGCATTAAAGCTATGTTAGAGGCTAGTAAGTTAATTCTATTTAAGAACGGAATTTTTGTTGGGAAGGGTTATGCTTGTGATGGAATGATTAAACTAAGTACTAATAAAATAAGTCATTATGCTTATATTGTTTGTTCTTCTTCTATTTGGCATGCACGTTTAGCACATTTAAATTTTAGATCTTTAAAGTATATGTTAAAGCATGGTTTTATTTCTTGTAGTGATTGCAATGATAAATGTGAAATTTGCATTGAATAAAAAATGACTAAGAAACCTTTTCCTAAAGCCAAGCGAAATTCACAACTATTAGAAATAATTCATTCTGACATTTGTGAATTAAATGAAAATTAACTATAAGAGGAAAAAGATATTTCATAACTTTTATTGACGATTGTTTTAGATTTACTTACGTATATCTAAGGGCTAGTAAAGATCAAGCTTTTGACATGTTTAAACGTTATGAGGCTAACATTGAAAATTAAAAGGAAAAGAAAATAAAAAATTCTTCGTATTGATAGGGGTAATGAATATTTTTCTAATGATTTTTCTGCTTATTGTGAAGAACATGGAATAATACATCAGAAAAGTGCACCTTACATTCCATAACAGAATGGTTTGGCCGGAAAAAAAAATAGGACACTTGTTGATATGGTTAATTCTATGTTGTTGAATGCTAAATTATCTATAAATCTATGGGGTAAAGCTTTACTTACTGCTTGTCATGTGCATAATAGATTCCATCTAGAAAAACACATATTTCACCTTATGAGATTTGGAAAGGAAGAAAACCAAACTTAGAATATCTTAAAGTGTGCGGGTGTTTAGCTTTTTATAGAATTCCTAATCCAAAGAAAACTAAATTAGGTCTAAGAGGAATAAAAAGTATTTTTGTAGGTTATGCTGAAAATTCTAAATCTTATAGACTATTAGACTTAAATTCTAATGTCATTGTTAAATATAGAGATATTGAATTTATAGAAAATAAATTTTGTCATGATATTTTGTATGAACCTATTCAAAGAAAATCTAATGATTTGGAATCTAATACATCTCTTAGAGACAAAAGGAAAATAAATGATGAAATGACTAGACCTAGGAAAAGTTAAAGAATTAGAAAAGAAAAGGCTTTAGATCCTGATTTTATTTCATCTCAAGCTATAATATTTCTAGTAGAAGGAGATAGAAATAAAGTTCTTAATAAAATACCCATTTTATTGAATATAGAAGATAATCCTAAAACATTTTCTGAAGCAATGGCTTCAAGAGATGCAGCTTTTTGGAAAGAGGCTATAAATGATGAAATGAATTCATTGTTGTCAAACCAAACTTGAATTTTGGTTGAATTACCACAAGGATCAAAACCAGTGAATTCTAAATGAGTATTTAGGAAAAAGTATAACACCAATGGATCTATTCAAACCTTTAAAGCCAGATTAGTAGCCAAGGGTTTTAAACAGAAGAAAGGTATTGATTATTTCGATACTTATGCACCCGTGGCTAGAATTGCATCTATTAGAGTTCTTATGACTTTGACTTCTATTTATCATTTACATGTGCATCAAATGGATGTAAAAACTACATTTTTAAATAGTGAACTTGAGGAAGAAATATATATGAAAAAACCAGAAGGTTTTGTCCTACCTGGAAATGAAAGGAAAGTTTGCAAATTAGTAAAGTCATTATATGGTTTAAAACAAGCACCAAGGCAATGGCATAAGAAATTTGATTCTGTGATACCATCATTTGATTTTAAGTATAATAATGCTGACAAATGCATTTATTCTAAATTCAAAAATGATTATGGTGTTATTATTTGTCTTTATGTTGATGACTTGCTAATTTTTGGAACAAATATGAGTGGTGTTTCTGAAATTAAGAAGTATCTAACTTCATGCTTTAAAATGAAAGATCTTAATGAAGTAGATACTATCTTAGGAATTAAAGTAAAGAAATATGAAAAGGGGTATGCATTGTGTCAATCTCATTATATTGGAAAGATACTTCTTAAATATAATTATTTGGGAATTAAAGAAGCTAGTACCTCTTATGATTCAAGTATTAAAATGCTTGAAAATTCTGGCAGAGCAATTGCACAACTTGAGTATGCTAGTGTTATAGGTAGTATGATGTATGTTATGCATTCTACAAGGCCAGATATAGCATTTGTTGTGTGCAAACTTTCTAGATACACAAGTAATCCTAGTACAATTCATTGAAAAACAATTATTAGAATCCTTGGATATCTTAAGGGAATAGTGGACCAAGGACTATTTTATTATGATTTTTCAACAGTACTAGAAGGATACTTAGATGATAGTTGGATTACTAGTGCGAGTGATAATAAGTCCACGTCTAGATGGATATTTATATTTGGTGGAGGAGTATTTCTTGGGTATCTAAGAAACAGACGTGTATAACACATTCAACAATGGAATATGAGTTTATTGCATTAGCGACAACCGGCAAGGAAGCAGAATGGTTGAGAAATTTGTTATTAGATATAGAGTTATGGCCACAACCGATGCCATCTATTTCTTTGCACTGCGATAGTGAGGCAACTATGTCTAGAACATATAATAAAATATATAATGGAAAGTCTAGATATATCAGTTTGAGACATGAGTATGTTAGACAATTAATAACTGATAGAGTTATTAACATAATATA